ATGTTTTTTTAAGTGCTATCGAGTTGGTTCCGACTCATAGTGACCCTGTATAGGGTTTCTAAGGAATGGCTGGTGTCCTTAACCTTCAGAGCCACACCAGGAGTCCATATATGTGTGTGTTGTTAGTTGCTGCCAAGTCTAGTCAAACTCATGGCCACCCTGTTGCTGTTTTAAGTGTCATAAAGTCAGTTTCAACTCATATGACCATGTATCTAGTTTCCAAGGAGCAGCTGATGGGTTTGAGCTGCCAGTCTTGCAGTTAGCAGTCCAGTGCTTATAATACAGCACTACACTTGGACTTTGTGGTCACTTTGTTGTTGTTGCTAAATGCTATTGAGTCATTTCTGAGAAGTGGTCAGTGAGTATGAATTGCCAACCTTGCAGTTCAAACAGACCTTGCAGTCCTGTGCATATCCTACAAGGCCACACCATTATATTTCATTTTAATTTGATTTTTCGATGGATTTTTTGAAGAACCTTCTTATATCTTTTTTTAATTTTTATTTTAGGTAATCCTATGCTAAAAAGGAACAAAAATGAACATTTACTGAGTCTTTATGATATACCAAACAAGGTGGCTGTATTCCTCACATTCAATCTTCAAAATAATTTTTAGCACTGTCAACATGCCATGCTATAAGATTATGACTGAAGGAGATAAGATAGCTTGCCCACAGTCATAGAGCTAAACTAAGTGGAAAAGGTGGGATTCACCATGCATGGGTAGGCAAGGACTCCAACACCAGACTCAATGCTCTTGCTGCTGCTGCTAAGTGTCATTGAATCAGTTCTAACTCATAGCAACCCTGCATAGGGTATCTGAGGATGGACTGGTGAGTTTGAATTGCCAATCTTGAGGTTCAAACTGACCTACAACCCAGTGCTTACTCTAGAGTGCCACACAGGACTCATTATACTCAGTTCCCCATTGGCACATATGAGAACATTTTGAACATCAAGAATGCTATGTGACCAAATGTTAAATAAAGTACATGTGTCTTATGGGGTCTCTATACCCTTGAATTAACAGCCTGAAGAATGTGCAACAAGCCTACATTGGATTGGAAAATGATACTAGTGGTATAACTAAGATTGATGTCATCCAGTGTGATAAAGCATGATGTCAGCATCCTCCTTGGTCCGCAGAGTACTCAGCCATATAGCCTCACTCCTCCTGGCTTCTCCTTTCACATGACCTTAGCTCCTTCACTCTCCCATTGGCCTAGGCAGAGTCCCTCCCTTCTACCCAATGGCAGGCATTGAAGCCTGCCTGGTGAGTTATGAAGGGTTGTGGTTTTGTTGTTGGTGATGGTGAAATAATATACTTGGTAACCAGTGACACCAACTCTAATGACCCCACTGTCTTTTTGGCTCTTACCCTGTGATGCTGCTGCCATCACTGCCACCATGGACCCTAGGATCATTTTGGTGTCACCTCTTTTGTCAAAGAGTCTCAGGGGTAAGTTATGCATCCTCATCATTCCCCTAGTGATACTATTGAATGATACCTTTGAATATGAGGCTTTCTTGTGGAGTGAGGTGAATCCAGGTACTTAATTAGGGGAGCTAGGTTTGCTAACCCACAGAGCTAGAGCCAAGTGCCTCAGGGCTAAGACTTACAGTGGAGTGGAGTGTCCTTTAG